TTTTTTAACTGATATTTCACTGGTTGAAATCATGAGTCAATTAAAGCTAGGCCACCATGGAAAACCTGGAATCACTGGACTGCCGTTTCACCCTAGCATGGGGCTCCTCAGCCGTGCGCACCCACGACCCCGCCCCTCGCTCGACTCGAACCCAGGGCCTATCAGTTTCGGGCCATGCGCTTAACCAACTACACCACTGAGCCGGCATCTAACGGTGTTAATGTCTAACCTCAAGCAATAACTGATATGTTAATCATGTTTAACTCATAATAGAATACTCGAACTTTTTAAATGGAATTGGTTTAGCAAAACAAATAATGAATTTTTCTACAATATTTTGGACACAAACCTTGTGATGATTTTTGTCAGGTTTTAAATGAGAATAAGTTAGTTACTTCACATTGTTTTCAATGAATTCATTGACTTACTTCCCGGTGAAATGCCATGTGGATGACATAAATGAGACACATTTGAAAGAAAGACATGAGCATCAAAATGGCGATTAGTTTCACAAACTTAAGTTCAAACACGTCTCTTTGGCACTGATCCTTGTGCAATTGTGTATTATAAAATGTCTGTTATTTTATAACAACGATACAGAGCGAGATCGAAAACTTGTATATAACCCAAAGAAAAGAATTACTTTAATGTACTATTACGTCATACAGAATAGTCAAAAACAGTACTCAATTTAAAAGATTAAGGGTATAAATAAGGCCGAAATTTCGACAACGATTATTAATGATCGGATTCTGCTTGAAGACAATTATGATTAGTGTATTTGCACGAAGTTATGTATCATTTAATAATAATCAGATATTTTAAAACCTAAATATACAGTTCCCAATTGAGGCTAACAAGAAAATAGTGTTTATATTATAGAGGTCTGGAAAAGACCTCATTCAGCAATTGGTGTGATATAATCTAGACATCAGTATTCTGTTTAGTATAACAATGATTTACTAAAGTCGTATTTGTCAAAATCTGCATTAGAATCGGTTGTATATCGGTGATTTCGGAAATAAACATTAAGATGGTGTAGCAAATATATTCTTGAAAATTGAGTAAGACAAACACATAAGATACCTTCAAAACCCTCTGCGACTATGGAACCGCTGCAATCGAAAACCAATTCACATTATATTTCTGTTTTTTGTAAATTCTGAATATCTGTAGATTCGAACGATTTGGTTTCAAAACCTCTGTTATGACAAATTTCAGTGGAAAAATGGATTATGATAGAAATATTAATATCTACAATGTGAAAACGAACATCATCTGAATTTTATAAACCTGCATTATATAAATATATGTCTCAACGTGAAATATGAATGATAAGTTTTATGCCCAGTAGTTGTGGCTAAGCTCTTGGAAATCGGAATTAACATTTTATCAAACGTTCGGAACTTATCCATTTTGCTCAATACGATTTAGTGATTGAATTCATGAATCAAATAAAGCTAGACCACCGTGGAAAACCTAAATTCGCTGGATGGCCGTCTCGTCCTAGTATGGGACTCCTCAGCAGTGCGCATCCACGGTCAGTGGTTTAGTGATTAGGCCTTCGCGTGCGAGACCGATAGTTCCAGTGCTAGAATCCCGGGGGCGGGTACACATTTATTCAGACAATTGGTATAATAAGGCGGGGATAATGCAAGAGTCTCAACTCATAGTATTACCCATTTTGAGAGTTGATACAGATAATGCTCACTAAGACAAAGAAATAGACATTGGATAAAATAATGAGTATACAGATATACATATAACCACTCATGAGGAGAATAAGCGTAGTGTTATAAGGACGTAGATATAAGAAGTATACGTGCCATAGGTCAGTGGTTTCTAGGGGAAGAGTATAGTTATTACGTTCATTCACATTCTATCTTTATTTTCTTCTATTTCATATTATTTTTGTGTATTGCTTCAGACTACTACGTAATATTCAGTAAACAGTTCTATTACTAATAAATTCAGTATAAAGCATGTTGATTTGCTGTGTGATATCCTTAAGTATTTATTAAAACTAATAACACTCGTTATATTTATCATCACTATCATTATCATAACTCTACACCAACCTTTGAAACAGTGAATTCAACTTTGATAGATTCCTTAAATTTTCAATTCGACAGTTTCGCTGACTTTTTTCTCTCAAAACTATAAAACTAACCTCTCAAACAGGTTGTTGACAAACTTGACTTTTATTGCTGTTACATTAATGATAATTTTATTGTACGCATCCACTATCCCGTCTCACGAGATTCGAACTAAAAACCTATCGGTCTCGCGCGCGAACACTTAACCTCTAGACCAATCAGCCGGCATCCAACGGTGTTAATGTCTGACTTCAACTAATCCACTGAAATGAGCGACACATCCACCATTGTCTTCAGTGAGTTACTATCGCACAGCAGACCTGATTGAACTCCACTTTATCTTTTCTTTGGCTGAATTAGCCTTAATAAATGGTTTTATTTATCATTACTTTCCATACTCTTTGTTAGTTTATTTTTCCTTATCTTTCCTTTTTTTCAAATATACGCCACATCGTCCAATTATATGGATATTTCCTGTTACGTAATCTTATAGATTTTATGAATGTTATTTCAGCATCTATATTTTTTAAGTCATTGACTTATTTACTATTACGAAACACTGATTCAAGCCTTTGTTATTCTTACCACAACTAGTACACCTGTCATCACACTATCAATTTGTACATTTTTCTTACAATGTTTATTTATGATATCTATTTCACTGTTATCAATAGCTCGTAAACTGCCTTGATTGGTTTAATAATTTCGTATGTGTATATGAATATTACTGTATGTTAGCATAGAGCATGATGAGAATCTTAGATGGTGGTCGACAGGAAGCCCTGGACCCGGGTTTCGTGCTACTTGGCACTCGTCAGCAAGGTGTCCCTGTAATCTTTGAAGGAACTGGTGCTCCGTGGCGGATTCGATCCCGTGTCACCCAGCTTCACAGTCAGAGACGTTACCACTGAGCTATCCGGGTCGCTACCGACATCCTGTAGGACTGAGATGTAGTCACAATTGATTGATCACTGGGTGACCAATGTCATGCGTGTCTAGTACTTATTATTAGTGCAGATCGAATGCTATCGATCATGTTGCAATGTGGCCACCAGTCTAGGTGACTCGACACCGGAGGTCGGTCGCGGCTCGGATAGCTCAGTGGTAACGTCTCTGACTGTGAAGCTGGATGACGCGGGATCGAGTCCGCCAGGGAGCACCAGTTCTTTCAAAGATTACAGGGACACCTTGCTGACGAGTGCCAAGTAGCACGAAACCCGGGTCCGGGGTTTCCTGTCGACGACCTCCAACCACCATCTAATCTTACAATAGTGCCCGCGGTGTCGAGTCACCTAGACTGGTGTCCACATTGCAACTTGGTCGACAGCATACGATCTGCACTAATAATAAGTACTAGACACGCATGACATTGGTCACCCAGTGATCAATCAATTGTGATGATGAGAATCTAACTGAAGACAATTTTATTCGCTTATATATGTTGTTCTTAAATTAAACGTAACAGCTTTCATACTCCTCTGCTTTTAGTTCCCATTTTGGTTGTTGATAAACTTTTGTTACCGTTAGACACAACTACTAGTTGTCATGTTGTAATTACTTATTACATTATTATTAAATGAAGCCTTTCTCTTTCCAGAAATATGGAAGCATTAATCGCTGCAGATACCTTACGAGATGAAATTTTTAAGTAACTGATGAATATTCCTTAATAACACAACCGTTCCTCAGACTAATCGTCAATTTTAGGACTTGGGTCTCGTGCGTATCTCAGTCGCGTAGTTGGACGCATTGATAGGATTAACAAAGTTAAAACGATTTAAACTTCACACGCTGTTTTAATTATTAGAGTTTGGCCGAAAACTATCATCATTTTCAGCATATATATATATATATATATATATATATATATATATATATATATATGATGTTAGTGGAATTTCTTACAAAAGGAATGGAATACTGCCTGAGTTATCTTAGGCTTTCATCAATGGTTAAGTCTCTTGAATAAGGCCTCAGAATAAAGTGATCTTTCGTAAGATAAGGGTTCATTTCCACACTTTTGAACTTCACATAACGTATTGAAAGTTACAGCTTATTTACTTATTCAATGGACATCCTCCAGTTGACACTTATCGTTACAGATCAAGGGAACAGCTTTCACAAAATACTAGTTAATTCGTCATTTGATACGGTCCAAAACAGAATCTTCAGCGAAAACTCTTCACATTATTATTTCACTTTGAACTATAATCAATTTGATAATTATTTCTAGTTTGAGCATCATTGAATTTGTACTTTAACATTGAATGATGGTTCATACCGTCGGATATCCTGCAAATGATTTGTTCACGAAATAAATCTCTCGTGCTCTGATTTGATCTGAATCAGAGACTTCAGTAATTCAGGTTTTGTTAAGCGTACATTATTCTGCCAAAACGTCTCTTCGAGTTACCTATGATTTTTCACCATCAACCAACATCTTTAATAATAACAATTACCATTCGTTTAATAGAAAAAAGAAGGCATCATCTTGACGACACCAAGGCATTACTTGGTAATATTTCCCAATGTATAAATGTTCAGTGAAAATCAACCTCATATCGTAAACTTGTTCTGATGATAGTATGTCATATACAAGAATGGTTATATGCAATGTGTGTGGGGTAAATGAAAAAAAAAAGTAATACTTTGCAAATGTGTATTAGGTTGTCTATATTGAATGGAATTTTTTAAAATGCTATTCAGAACAAGCTTAGTATTTACTTATGAATACATACACGGCTCACTACTCTATTAAGGAGCATGTGATGAATAATGTTGATCATCGAATAAACTGATTATCTGTTACATATGAATCACATCGCTGTTTATACACCCACTCAGTTTAAAACCTATTCATTATGTAAACAAATGTAATTTGGAATGGTATAAATAAAGGTGAAACATAATCTATAAGTAAAGATGTCCTCCTTTTGTTTATACGGAATATTGTTCCTTATATGTGCACAAAGTGTTACATCATTTCGAAAAGGTTAGTTATTGTGAATTATTTTCATTGTTTATACATTGTGATTATGTATCATATGGTAATTCATATATAGTTTTCAAGGCTGGTAAGGTATTGTGAAGCGCATTTATTGAAATTTCCTTTTCGATTATCATTGACAAAATGTACGAAATTATTATTTGAATGTGACACCAATGATTAGAATTTCTAACCAAGTCTACAGTACTTGAATATTCAGTAAATAAAGAATAACTTGCTTGATTCATTTGGGTGAACTAAAGTGAATAATTATCACTTACTATAAGTGCATTGGCTTCTGAATAATTATCATCCAAAACTGCTGTATGTGTTATGTTAAAGAAAGTTATGTTACATTAGTTCGTGAATTAAGGACTTGTGAGCTATTGTATGAATTACCACCGTAATATACAATTTACAAAGTTATTGATGATAATGTATCACTACACTAAAAATCAATGTTATTCTATGTTACTACTCAACATACATTTAAAAATCAGTCGATTCGTAATATGAATATTCAACATTAAATGTTAATACTCAATGAGTCTGTGCGACCAAAAGATCAGAAAATGCTTGTGAATAGTCACTAATGATAATTCGAATTCATAAATCAATTATGCAGCAAATTTGACAGTTCATCTCGAAGAGCTATTCAGATTTGTTAAAGATCCAACTGTACAGGTGATAAATAGTGTAACACTAAACAACAATCAAACATTTTACAGAAAGGGTTCGGTCTTAACCGTCAACGTTAGTGAGCAGGAAACTCTGGATACAAGTTCTTCTGTGATTGGGACAATAATAGTCTACCAAATAGCTCAGTGATAACTTTACTGACTGTGAGACTGAGTGACAAAACTCTAAATATTACAAAATACATCAGTTCTATTAAAATCGTAGGAATGTCTTCTTGACAGATGACCAGTGGCGTAAAGCACTCATAGAGTCCTTGATCCTAGCCTCCCGACCATCGTATATCAAAATACCGTACACCCAGTGATGATGAACTGAGATCGGTGACCATACTTTGAACTAGATTCCCGATTTTTATAGATAATAATAACGAGATATTCGTGATATTTAATACTACTGGGTGATCGACAACAGTTTTTTGTTGATTCATATTTGATTATTAGCGCCAGTCAGTTTCAAATGAAATCTACATCTAAATTATTGCTGAGTTAGCCAAAGTAACAAGATATCTTCCTAATAACGAAATACTTATTTTATTTATATTCCAGGAAGTTCGGTCTGCATTTTAGATTACGAGGAGGGCATATGCAGAGCTCTGATAAAACGTTTCTACTACAACAGAATAAATAAAACTTGTGAAGTATTTTATTATGGCGGGTGTCTTGGAAATGGAAACAACTTTCTAAGCAAAGAAGAATGTGAACACAAGTGTAACGGGACGTAAGTATTTTGTCAAAATGAAGCATTTTATTTTTATATCATGGTCTTATGCTATACCAATACGAATTATGAATATATTTCACCACACAATCATTATAATTAGATGCTTCAACAGAAAACACTCCTAATATGCACTATAACAATGCACTTAATTACTACCTAATATCACATGTATAATAAGTCGAAGCTGCTATTGCGATATGGGATTAGGGCATTTTTGTGTTATTTTTGGCTTTAACAAGCCACGTTTTTTGGTGTGTCCAAATACATGAAATTTACATTTTGATAGAGAATTATTACTAGAAACTATTCTTAAGCTTAATGGCAGTCACGTGTTTAGTATTTATGATCAGTATGCTTGTGGTTGGTGTCATCTAAAAATGTAAAGTCAGTCTTGAAAATAATACACTCACTATTGTCCGGGAGATTTCTAGTGTAACTATGGTACAGAGCGTACCATATAAATAGGCCGTGTCTGAAGTTACCCTCAGGTTGTAAGTACTTTAACCGAATCACTCCTTAAATCAGGAAACCACAGAAAACATTATCTTTACACGACGTAGGTTGCAAGGAAGTGACAGGTATCAACATTTTTTGAGCAGTTCCACGGATGATCCTTGCTCAAGCAATTAATTTTACCACCTCCCATTATTTACACTGTCTACACAACCGACAACACTCCTGTGGACTCTAACACTTTCATGACCACCACCACGGATAACAACCTGTGTTCATGAAATACTTTTCTGGGTCTCCACGAATTGCACTTCTGATTACATCCCGAGGCATTCAATTTTCTAACAGATGTCCCAAGTTAGATTTTCCGAATCCAGTTCCATGGGTGTCTACTGTTCACGAAGTCCTCATACGCCAAGGTAATATTAACTCTCGAAGAATCTCACCATTTGTTTATGTGAAGAACTGAAAGAAGCTACTTGTTATCTCCCTTGTTTACATATACCTTCGTCTTCGATACTCCATGAACCGATTCCTTTAGAAAACAACTATGTATTGTTTGAATTATGAGTACAGTGAGAACGCTCAAGATAGAGGCACACAAAGTTGTTCCTTCCCAAGCCCTACCTGATTACTGATTGGATGGCGTAGAAGATGAGATATACGGCAAAGTTTGTGAATTACAGTTTTATGTGCTGTACATTCTCCTACGATCTTCACTAATGGTTGTATGATCTCAATGATGCTAATTATGTAGGGTAGAATTATTCGTTTGATGATTTTTGCTGTTAATTTCGTACTGAATGGTCGGTTTGATACACACTTGATGGTGAAGTTTAGTGGCTAGTTGTTTTCCTGTGATACATCTAGTAGGTATTTATTTTCATTTTGTCATGCATTTATAGTGGTATTTTGTCGGACTTACTATATTCGGTAGACTTTATATGCTTTATGTTGATCAGTCATACAGATATTATTGTTGGAAAAGATTACTTGATCACTATGAGTTAACTTACCATAAATGTACATATAAACTTTTCCTGTATTGAACTTGTTATTAGTACATCTAAGAACGACGATTTGTTACTCATCTTATTCATATATGTTTTATTATTAAAGATGATCCAGATTGAGTTGTAGGCACCTTTCGACTGGTTCATTTTAATGATAATAAATGTGTGGTATGAGCGCAGTATCTAAAATGTAGATTTAATGACTGAAGAGACTGAATTTTTTAGTCAACAGAACAGGCTGCTGATCAATTGAAGAAAGACTTTAACTAACAAATTCTTTTCAAAAATATGTTCCACAGATGTAACGTGTAAACCATCCATCATATAGAATAAACACTTGTGAAATCATGAGCTATGGAAAATCCTCAATCTACCTACACATATTCACAAAAAAAACATCTATTTTTAACACTTTAAGTATTAGCTTTTTTTTCTAAACAAAAATTAACAATTATTGTGTTCCATTCTTCAGAGTGACACTATTGAATGTTCTTTATTTTCTGTAGGACTTACATAACAGAAGATTCATTCGGTGAGTGTATGGATTTTCAAATATTTATTTAAATGTAGTACATCACATGATAAACTAGAGAAAAATACAATAGTTTTTTGTACTTGAAACGATACAGAAGAGAATATTGTTTCCATATACACTAAGTTCTTCTTAAGTTGGGGATATTCAAGCTATTATTGTTCTGTAATTTGATACTGAATGTTTTATTTACTATGATGTAATTAGTACGTTTCCTTTTAGCAAACATATGTGACTCATTACTGCTGGATAATTCTTCATCATGTCAACATTAAAGAGTTTTGTACCGATTCTTGGTGACTTGTTTATCATCCATCATACCTCGGTACTTGTTATCTACACACGTATCTTAACGAGTATCTAAAATGACTGTATCTAAAACCACATTCATACATACTTAATAGTCATATTTTTGTGATACATTTTGCCTGTTATCAGTGTCAATAATCTCTTAATTTGAACATTTCATACACTGATGAGATAGCTGACAGAATTCTACTTATGCAACTGAATAAACACGAAGTCTATAAGTTGCAAATTACACAACTAGTTCCATATAAGGTCAGCAATTACTAGTATCTCTAACATCTGAGCAACGCTGTCACAAAACAATGAATCATAAATGGAAGTAAAATGTTAGTGTCACACTATCATACATCAATATCATTTATTTCATAACCTATCAATTATTAACATCGAAGAACACTTGTAAAATAATAGTTGGAACTGATCTATTTTAAACTGATAGATATGTTCAATAGTTGAGATTGTAGTGTCTGTTATTATGTTAAGCCTAAATACCTCATTCTAACTTTCGGACATCTCAATCTAATCATTCTACTTGAGTCATATTTTGACCTTGTTAATTATTCGCTCATCAATCTTGACTGTATTTAAATGAGCGCGTGGGCGTGTGTACACTTCTTATCCCACTGTTCATCACATGTCTGTAATTTATTTTTGTCTGCTTATAAATATTGATTACCGCTTGGTTAAAAGGGAGTTTGCTTACCAGCCATCTCCACCGCGCGTCAATTTAACTTCGCTTTCTTATCTTCGCATCGTTCTCTCGTTCGTTTGTCTGGATCAACGAATATACAAAATATATGCATTCAAAAGTCCATTCTCGTTATTTGACTAATTTAATTCCGTTATTAACTAACGCGATTTAAGTCAATGATTGTACACGAGGATAGACGATAACAAACAATCATTACGATCTATTGGAGTCAGATCACGGGCCACTAAAGTGGAGAGCCCTTCGACAACATTGTACAATCGAAATGATGACAAAACAACGGCCACCACAAAAAGATCATGAGTCAGTTGAAGCAAGTCCACTATGAAAAACCTGGAAGTATTTAACGGCCGTTTCGTTCAGTGCTTCCAGGTTTTCCATGGTAATCTAGCTTCAACTGACTCATAATTTCAACTATTGAAATTATTACAATCTCCACAAAACTCCTTCTGATAGATAAATGTTAAAAACAAGCACTTTATTTCAAAAATAACCAATAAAAGCAAAGTATGATATGAGTAGCATAATTTTATACACAATACCACATTCCTTACATAATCTGTGTTCTAATATATTTAAAATAAAAGATATTATATTTCTTTCATGTGAGTAGATTTATTTCGTTTGTTAACTGTACTTTTTTATGTTTTTTTTTAATGGTTTTGTAGAAACAACTAAACAAACGGAAACAACATCAACATCGATCGACCAATCAGGTTCATTATTCGGTTTTTCTATGACTCTATCTAGTTGCAAGTTTATTTTATATTTCTGAAATATGTTAATCCAACTGCAAAACCGACACTATTTCTTGTTATATAAATCAGAACACAATATAGGAATAAATTAATGAATAACGTTGTTAGGTGCCAAATTGAAATGTTATTGGTTTCCAGTAATTTACAGGATACCAGTGCCAATAGCCTGCATGAATTTCATTCCTACATATCTGTCAATATGGTCGTCAAGTTTCGCCTATTATAGTTGAATAGTTGACACTTCAATATGTCTTATGCTCAAATATAAATATAGACGATTCCATTTTTGTTGCTAATGATAACGGAGAGATATTATAAAATGGATAACTAATGTCATTTGTGAATACAGTTTCAGCACATATGGTGTACTAAAAAGTACCTCTTAACTAAGCACTTTATATTCTATAATTAACTTCTGGATTATGCTATTTCCTATTCCCATTTGACTTAGTGCAAAATATTTCACTCGATCAAAATAACCTTATCATACAAGTTGTTTTGGTGTAGCTTGATAAAAAGGCTCATGAAACTAACAAATGTTATATATTTTACTATAGCTCAATGATGAACATGAAAGTGTACTTCCTTTTCATGAATGTTATCTTGTACAGTAGGTTTTGTAAACTTGTGATTAATAATCTAGTTACTATTAATATATTTAATTCTATCATTGATTTTTAACCAATTTCAGATAGTACTGAAGGAACAACCCCTATTCAGAAACCACTTGGAGTTGGTGCTAAAATCTTCTTAGGCATTTTGGATATAAAAAACAGAGTGTCCAATTTATTCAACAAAATCAAAGGTGGAAAATAACATGAATATCCTCATTAATAACAAATTGTATTCTTCTTTAACAATTATCTAAATCATTCTATATAGCAAGAATATTAGATGGATTATAATTTGATATATAAGATATCATCAAAAGAACTGAAATCATTACATTGTAGCAATTTTCATAATAAATATGTTGAATGTCAAATAATCACCACGAAGTAATTGAATATCTTTATTGATCAATACAAATTCGGAAGTGAAAACTTTTAGAAAAACTAAAATTAGTAATTCATTATTGATTATTTGTAGAAGTTTTAATTGATTAATTATTTTGGTAAAACTTATCCTTCGATTGTTCTTTTAAATATGATATAATCAGTAGTTTCTACATCTTCATAGAATATTCAAAAAATAAAAGAATATTTAGAGGAAAAATTGTTTTCAATAACTTCATCATTAGGTTTTATAGCTTTAAGTGAATAACAATGACAAAATAAGGTATTCATAAATAAATTTGACAATGTTATGTATTATAATCGATGAACATTTCCATCTGTTATAATATAAACACTTCGAAATACATATTAGTTGTAATAATTATACTAGTAATAATAATAATGACGTTGTGTCAGTCAGTTAGTCAGTCAATAACAACGTAGAACATTGTACGTACATACGTACATCAGTTCAAGTTGCTATAACACATTGACACAGAGATACAATTGTCAATTCAAATCCCGTAGTGGTTGAGGTAGTAAGAGTATAAGCAGTAATCAGAAACAAGGGTTCGAAAATGTTATTTATATGGTATAATCCAGTGAAATAAATTTGGAAAGAGAAAAAAGGGACATGAAGAATTCAGAAGATTAAAATTTGAAAGAACGAAAAGAGTGGATGCACCTACGCCATTGACACAACGTCAGCTGTGTCAATATGTAATAATAGAAGCGTTTACAACATAATTACGATAAAAAACATTCATGTTAAATGGTGAAAGAAGAATATGTATATTATGTAACAAAGGAATAAGAAGTGGAATAAGTGGTTTATCATTTCAAGTTTAGGTATCTAGTGTTCCAATCTTTGATCATTGTAAACATAGACGCTGGGTATACATCTGTAGCGTGGTGTCGAGTTGAGCTTGACTATGAACACCGCTACCAGACTACATGCCAATAGACCAATAAGATTCCGGTAGGCCAAAAATCAGAAGACAGATGATGGCTGTAGTCGAGATGTATTTGTTGGCGATCTCGTGGTATCGAAAGAATACCGAGATCGTGCCAAAGGAGTACAAGCGTGGTTACTTAGCGTAACCGGATTCGTACAAGTTTAAAGTCAACGGGAGAATAAGTAAGTATAATGGCTGTCATTAGCACAGTTAAACAAACGAGCACAATAAAACAATCACTGGTACAATTGGTTATAATAATAATTGTTTTCATCGAACCAATCGCGTTCTGTTGACAAAAGTAGGTCACTACACATCTTTTGGACAAGTAAGTTAGGCTTTCTGGCGTTGATTCAGTTGGCGTCAACTAACTGAAGTCGTAATGTAGATTGTTTGTAACGTGTTATATAAAATAGAGAAAACTTCATCTATTTTAATATGATGTTTACTACCGAACATGTGAGAAAGAATGGTTCTATTAATTGATTTAATGGCTCCTTTTTTAAACGATGACGGTACACGCTCACGAAAAAGCAAGGATAAAGCCATCTGAGTGTATCCTATGTAACTAGCTCCACAGGAGCAGATGAATTAGTATACTCACATGGAGTAGCCACCATCGATCACTTATCCTTGAATTGTTGTGTAAGTATTGGTTTAGTTAAGGGAAAACATTTGATTGAAATTTTAATTATACATAATAACACAAAGTTTAAGAACAATTTGTATTACAAAATACTATTAGATGCAATAAAAGCCCAACATTCGGATTTGTATGATTGTCGTATTCAGTAACTACATTCACGCCACGGAATTCATCAATTATCACTAATCATAACAAGTATCATTTATAACACGATTATTTTTGTATTTTACTGTAATAAAATTTTTTGTCTCATGTAGAAAATTTCCCCTGGTTTTTCCAATGAAATAATCAGTTTTAAAACGGTAATTATTGGTTACATATTTCTAAGTAACATAAAAGGTAAATATTCTTCGATTAATCACCTTTCCGTCGAATTATGAACGTAAATAACTTACAAAGTATTAGCTCTATTGTTCCGAACGTTGTCATGGATACCGTTCACGTATTCTTGAACACGTGGTATATGGTAGTGTTCCAATCGTCTGAAGCTTTGAAGAGCGCCATCATAAATTATAAAAGGGCGACATACTTCCATTATGGTGTTCTTGATTCTCATTTCCATAAGAATCAGAGGCCTTACATAAAAATCATTCGGAATGTCATAAAGAGCGTAATTTATTAATTGAGTGAGATTAACATTCAACTGTATTTTTAAAGGCTGCGATCTATAATCTCAAAACTATTCTTCCGGACTGGTAAAAAGAACTATTCAGACATGACAGTCTTTCGTAGTTTCCAAAGCTATCTTATAGTTGTTGTCATGTGATTACCATCAGACAACAAACTGTCCAACGTCACTATTGATAACTATTTATCTATTCAACTCATACAGCCAAGCATCCAAACAATTGTATTCCTTTGTTCGGCATATGTCAGAGTAACAATGTAGTTATGCTGCCGTTGACGCTATCCCCAGTATATGAGTCTCAGATCGAAGCCTTCAATTCCATAGATAAATAAATGTCAAGAATCCAAAAGACAAGTACTCCCAACCATCGAACGAAATTTGATTTGGATGTCACGCTAGGTCATAACGAATATGATGTTTCAATACACTCGGAAGAATACAATAACAGAGACAACAAAGACAAAGATGATCATGACAACACACCGTGTGACATGCCATTATGCTCAGTCTGAATGATTAAATAGTTGGAACTAAGTGACCAATCGAAGGCTGTTTTTAGGGTCACGCAAAACTTGATTTCAATTGCTACTTTTAATTACGATACAAATTATATCAATAAATTACCGTCGTTCGCATTGTATATACGTTTTCTGTATTTTCAATGACAGTTCAGCTGTTATTGCATATGATGTTAAGTATCTTATGATCTATTTTTACTATTGCATCTGTTCGTTCTCTTATATTACCGGTATCCGAATTGATATCGTTCTTATGCATTTAAAAACAATCGGCACGAAAAATTCTGTGACTGCATGAAACCGATTACACTGTAACAATTACATTTTTGAGAATAACAAACAGTAACACTTGTATGACGTAGTTAAATGCTTGACGATGTTATTGCAATTTGTCTGTTCACGTAGTAGTTAGTATTATTTGGACATGATTCTCGACAGATTCATCATATCCGTTTAGCGTAATGTGAAAAATGACAACACAGTTATTCGAAAGTACTCATTTTTTACGTCTTACACATGTGTAACATGCACTAAACTGTACGCTTTTCACGTATGAAAACATAAGAATACGTTCAGCTGTATAATTACAAAACATTTTTATCAGCACTCAGGCCAATTTTTATTAGCATTAATCGCTAAGCACTGACTGTTACCTTAGTATGTGCTAACAGTGAATGACATGAAATGATCATTATACTCTTTATCAGTGTCTGTGAACTCCATTCCTATATAATATACAATAAAATATTGTTCTATCTTAGTGTTTATTACAATGTATTAAGTGTCTGTTTTCATTATTCACTTGGTATTGTTTACTTGAATCTTCGTATTTATGTTCAGAACTGCAATTGAACAGTCCTTTATCGGCATATGTGCATCCTGTAAGGATTTCCTCGATATTTCCCTAATTCACATGCATTATCAGCAAAGATGCATATTGGCTAGCAGTGGAATATAGGACGTGTGTTTCGTCCTATTTGGGACTTGTCAGATGGATGTATTTGAATCCCAGAGTTGATGTTGTATTATTTTACTATAATTTCAGATTTATGTAGGGAGATCAGTGCGCTATTACAACAAAAGTGTTTCTATGGTTAAAATCAACTGAACTCAGATAAATTACTATCAAGCCCTAGTAAATGTACACCATAATCATTCGAGAATAATAATCAGAACTATGTGATATATTAGCGTAATACATTTCGAACAATCTGATCACACATATACTTGTTAAGAACATTTATTTATAACTATAATAACTAAGGTATTGACTTGTCCAAAATTGGTTTTCTAAAAAAATGGATCGTTTGATTGAGCCATCATCTCGTCTACTCAGAAGTATATCTAGGAAGGGAAGCTGATCGTTCTTCCCCTCTTTACATGAGAAACTGATATAGTTTTGAAGAGTGTTAAATTTATTCAGTAAATAGTACATATCCTCATTTCTTTGACAAACAACGAAGATATCATCCATATATCTCTTATAAAGTGACGTGTTTTCCATTAGTTCATTAGCCTAATATATCACATCGTTCTAATATTCTTGTTATTATTACATTATCAAAGGGACTAAATGTTTTGAATACTGATCTACTTTATGATAGTACATGAAAACTTCAATAACAAATTTTCAGCCAGTTCATGATCAAATCAAAAATCAAACTTTAGTACAACTAAACAACAATTTTTAAAGTTGACCTTATTCATATTTAGCAGTTTAATCGCCCAACAACAACAACAAGTAATTAATGTCAGATATAAATCTGTTTAGTAACGATTATCTATCAAAGATAGTTATTGTAATGTTTAACTTTTACAGGTCTTATATTCAATTATTCACATATATGATTACAAAATATGTACATAGAATATGTAAATATCCCTTAAAATAATGTTCAACAAATAAGACCGATGATTGAAAGAAAGGAAAAAAAATTGATTCCCGACGTCCATAATAGAAATTTATGAAGCACACTACATGTCATTATTATATTGAATAAGTCTATTTCACAATAAACTGTATATGACGTAAAGTAGACAGTAATGATTTAGCCATATTCGAATACATTTTTTTCTCTCTTTATATTTCAAATATTATTAATGTTTGAGTTGTCACGTAGAAATGAAATTGAAAAAAAAACAAAACAATTAAGGTAGTGATTTTGTCTGACTGTATATTTACGAAACACTTGTTATTGACAATACATATAAATAAACATAACTATACACATCCCAAATACAATAACTGATTTACATTAATACATATACAGTGATGTTTTCTTATCAATAATTGTATATTGGCCAAGTATATAGATTGGACGATTTGTAGTTGAAAACAATGTTTTTTATATCAGAAGGGATTTTTGTGGATATTGTTAGTCATTTCAGTGGTTAAGATCATGAGTCGATTGAAGCTAGACCACCATGGAAAATCTGATAGCACTGGATGACCGTTTCGTCCTATTGTAGGACTCACAGAAGACAATCGTGGATGTGTTGGTCAATTTCGTGGATTAGTTGAAGTTAGATATTAACACCGTTGGATGCCGACTTAGTGATCTAGAGGTTAGGCACTCGCGAGCGAGACTGATAGGTCCTGGTTTCGAATCTCGTGGAGGGGCGGGACCATGGA